AATGAAAGAAAAGAACTTAGAAGAATACAATAGTTTGGGACCTGTTTTAGTTACAAGCCTGTTTTTAAGGAGAAAACATTCCTTTTCCTAAAATTAGAAATCCTTTAATCAACAGCTAATTCAGCAGCAAAGCAAACACCATAACCATCAAATACAACCAAACCCGAAAAAAGAAAAGAGAAAACACCAAATATATAAATAGAAATGACTTTTATCTTAAATACATCACACCATCGAAATCAGAATATGTCAAACAACATTTATTTAAGCTGTATCGTCTCTATGTTCTTGCTCAGCTCTTCGAGTTTCTTCAGCCTCAACCTCTCGCTTTCGCTCACCAGCTGCATAATTGCCAAATTCAGAACAATTACAATAAGCAATTAATATTAAAAAAGATTGCAGGGATGATTATATACATTAATAATGATAACGATGAAATTAAGGTTTAAGCTTAGTCCAATTCCATAAGTTATATATCTTTTACAATTTAGGACCAGCTCTTAAAGTGCTTAAAACTTAGTTCGTAAAGATTGGTTTACGTAATTTAGAATGTCGATGGGTTTACTTAATTTTGAAAGAGGACTTAGTTTCTACATAATTACTCTAAACTTAGAAGTATATTTTCTGATTAACCCTTCATTTGAGCCAAAACAAAGCCCGATTCAAATTGACTACCAAAATAAGCTTTTACTCACCTCCATCAATCTAGTAATCAGTTGAACCTTTTCTTTGTTCTTTTCATTGAAAGCTTCAAGTGCTTCTTTGTACTCTCGTTCCTGAGGTTACAGACAAAATACACAATTCACAAGATCACATAAGGTTTGTCTTAATTATATTTCTTCCAAACCAGAAAGCTAGCAAAATATGGAAATATAATATCACCTTCTTCTGGCAAGTCTGCCCGAGTGGCTTCAAATCCTTGTTAACTGCATCGATTTTCTTACGTACAGCAGATACTTCTTTCTTCATCGGGTCTGCAAGTGCTTCTAATTCCTGAAAATTATATTTAAGAGATTTAAGGATATGCATGTGTGGCAAAAATTCATACAATTTTCCATGGGATATTTAGGCATACAAGACAAGAACAGTTGGATGGAAATTTCACAAGATTAAATGAAGAACATAATTAATTCAACGAAAATATGAATCTGAAAAGACATCCCATCCGAGTTTGGTTGTCTTCCTCGTCTTTTAAATGAGTTTACTAAGCTCAACTGTGAAGGGTGAGGGTGAAACCAGAAAAATTATCTAAAAAATCAGATACTTCTGCAAATTTTCGGGTTGAAATCTAAACGGTCACAATTTTGCCGCTTTGGGTTAACGTATAAACCATCTTAACAGTCACTTTTTCAGCCAAAACGCTCTTGGGTTTTTTTATACTCAAACAATACAGAGAAGAGACGACCAGGAAAACCCTTTAAGAAAATATTTGAACATAGGAGAAACCCATAGAAATTTACAGTATTAAGCAAGAAAAACAATTTTCACGATCCAAAAGAAACAGGTAAACACACAAAAGGCAAACCCTAACCAGAACCTCAGGTCTTCGTTCCAAAAATTCCACAAAATTCCTCCAAATCACAGCAGGAAAACACATCACCAAATAACGAAATAATCAGAACCAGAACTAGAACAAGAACAAGTACAAAAACAACACTAAAATACCTCTCGAATAGTAGCCAATCGCTTAGTCTCCTCCTCAATCCGACCCAGCTGAGCCTGGACCTTCTCCTTGACCTCCATCTTCTTCTTCTCGATCTCCTCCTCCTTCGCCCTGAACGTCGACAGCGCAGACTTCGACATCTCCTCGTCCTCCTTCGTCAGCGTCCCGTTGAAGCTCAAGCTCCCCGAAATCTGGCCTGACTGCATCATGGATTGCTGGTTTTCAAGAGTCCTCTGAGTCTGCATCATTTTTTTCCCCTTTTTCTCGCACAGAAAACTCAAATTCCTTTCAGATTTCTTCTCTATTGTGCGGCTAACCTTTTTTTTTTAATTTATTTTTTCCGGCCCTAATTGAGTTGGGGTTTCGTGGTGTTTTTCTTTGGCTTTTGCTTTTTCGCTTTGTACCTTTTGAAATGATGGTGTGAGGGGTAGAATTCGTCTTTTATGTGTTTTTTTTTTTCGCTGTTTGCAGGTGCTTATGACCGAGGCTGCTGCGTTGGCTCAGCACTCTCACAACTGTGTTTTAAACAAAGTAGTTATTATTAGTTTATTGGCTTTGTTTAAAAAGACCCACTATATAGATTATTAAAATGTTGATTATTAAAATGTTGATTATTAAAATGTTTTACCTTTTTTTAAGGGAATTATTTTTATTGTAGTTAGTACTTAACTTTGGCATACGTATACCGTTGGTTGGAGTTGATTACTAAGAAAGTAGGTTTAACAAAAATTTAAATATACATGGACTTTTGTTTGTAAAAATAGTGGCGACCAAAACAGAATATATCCAAAAATTTAGCCCAAATTGTGTAATTTGGTGTGCTGATAGAACTTTTTTTTATATTTTTTCTATATTTTTACGTTCGTTTTTTTTTTTTTCTTTGATGTCGAATTTATTTATTTATTTTTATATGCAACAAATGTGAAATAGGCTAAACGAAAATTTTTGTTTATAGGAGATGGGCTTTAGCTCAATTGGTAAAGGCGTAAAGCAGTAACGGGCATATTTTCAGACAATCGGTGGAATCTCATAAGTATTTATTATTTAAAAAAAGCTTTGGTGTGAAGGATAAATGACTCATTTAATTAGTTACTATTTTCTTTCGAATTTCGGAATATATTTTAATTGTTTATGCAGTTTTCCAAAATGAGCATTTTGAGCTAAAATAACTAGTAATTGATAGACGTAATTTTGGCATCAGACCAGATGATTTTAAAATACAAAAGAGGGAGAATATAAAAGGAAAAAGCATGGGTGAAGTGACCCAACTAACCACCACACCAAAAAAAGATGAGCTGCCAACACTGCCCAATTTTCACTTTCACTCATTCATTAAAAATAAAATAAAATAAGGGGAAAAATCACTCAATGAATTTTATATTATAATTAATTAATTAATTAATTAATTAAATCAACTTATAAAGGTGAATTTTTAAATTATCCAAAGACAAAAAATCCGTTTAAAGAATAGAAAGTCAATTTGTAGGAATTGTGGTACAAAAAATGAAATATGCGTATATTTTCCTGGCAAGAAGTCTTGCAGAATCATAATTAATGGAAGACCACAATTGTGTGAATCTTACCAGTCAAACACATTGATTTGGAATTGTCTTTTATTATTGTCATTATTATAATTTGAGTATAACAATTAATTTCAAATTGTGAGATATTTTACCACCAAAATGATATGTCTTTAGCTGTAATCTTTCATATAATATGTGTGCATATTATATGTGCCTGTATTTGTAAGGTAGTTATTTTCTTAAACCTGCTTCAACATACTTTTGTACTTCACATGGAGAGCACACAAGGTACAGGGCAAAAGTCATGAAGTATGCATAAATATATGGTTTAATTTAATAGTAAATATTTTATAGAATATATATAATTGATACGCAATATATACAATTAATTTGTTACTCTTTTCGTTATAATATTACCAAAATCAACAATTTAAATCTATCCACACATAAGTCGGCCCGGTTTTAAATAAATAAAAATATAAGCCCAACCATTTTCGGGTTATCTTTGTACGTGGTCCGAGCCGACAGTGTTATTTAAATAAAATAATGGGTCATCTGAGCATGTTTGTTTATAGAAATTTTGTATTTTGTTTGGTTTGGTTAATTTTGAATGATTGATTGATTTATTAATTAAATTGATAATATTGATGATAGTGAGGTTGAGTTAAAATTGAATTAAAATGACAAAATTGTGTTGAAAATTTTCATAAACAAACATGTAAGAACTTAGATATTTTAGGCTGTAAATATGTGTACTCGGCTTTCCTCTTTCATATTATGTTAATGTTAATATATAATCATGAAATTATGCAAAATTAAAGGCGTGACATCAGAAAATCTCTCTTTATCTGATAATTAAATATGATTTGTTTCATAGTGACAGAAATTTTAGAAGCTTCCGGTATTTGGCCTTGTATTTTTTTTAATTAAATAAAAAACAAAATCATGATTTCTAACATGATTAGGCTAGTCAGTACTAACAACAATCTACTAAACATTTTAAATAAATTTCTCCATAAAAAAATTTCTCCATAATTTTTTAGTGCAATTTCATTTTATTTTCTTATTCATATCTTGTGGAAAAGAGTGATTGAGAAAAAAAGTTTGGTGTGGGTTGGAAAGAAAGGGTCATCTGACTCACCAACACATAAAATCAGAGAGAACGAAATCTGAAAAAGCTATAAGCAAAAAGCAGAAAAAACAAATAATAAAATAAAAATCAAGACAGCAGCAGCTGCAATATTATATTTATGGTGGATTTGGATTAGCTAGTATTTTGCCAATTTAATAACATATATGCAAACCTACAATTTGGACTTAAATAAGAAATCTCCTTTCGATATGATTGTCCATATCAACGTATATATTATAGAGATTTATTACCCAAATGAAAAATATATACCAGCACATACTTGAATTTGATACCATTTAAATGAAAAATATATACTCACACATACTAGATACCATTTTATTACCAATTTTCTGCAGCTTTTAACAATGGAAAATATATTTGTTGATTACAGGTTTTCAAAATTTTCTACAAAAAATATCCGACTTTATTATGAAATTATATTATTGATTTGACAATATTTATGTACTATTACAATACCAGTGTATTACATGGGTGTTTGTTAAGAAATTTATATTTAAAATTAAAAATAATAATAAAAAAATTATTTATTTTAAAATACGTTTTTGAATAATTATATTACTACTTATATTTGAATAACATACATCACTTATACGATTAATCATCTTGTATTATAATATTTTTTTAAATTATATCGTTTAACAACTTTGTAGTTAAATTGATTTAAATAATTTTTTATTTTTAATTAATATTAATAGATAATTTTTTATTATAAATTATAGTTATATATTAGATTCGGGTGTCATGTCAAATGTTAATAGGTGATTTTTTAAAATACGTTTTTGAATAACTATTCTCTTTTTATAGTTATAGATTAGGTTCGGGTGTCGTATCAAATGTCAATTAGAATTTTTTATTTATTTAAAAAAAAAAAAAAGTGGACAAAAAAAAGAGAGTGGAAAAAAATCAAAAGGCCGTATTTTGTAAATCCACTTTTTCAATATTAAACGTATTTACAGAATACGTTTTTATTAGTAAAACGTATTCAATGAATTCGTTTTTGCAAAAAAAAAATTAATTAACGTAACAAACGTAATTAAGTAAATTAAAATATAATAAAACGTATTACCTAAATAAGTTTTAAGTTAAAAAAAACAAAGACGTATTACTAGAATACGTTTTATAACTAAAAATAATTATATATTTATTTTTTAATTATAAAACGTATTCCAATAATACGTTTTATAAATAAAATTAGTATTTACAATTTTGAAAACAAATTTTTCCAGAAAATAATAATTAAAAATATAAAACGTATTTTGAAAGTACGTTTTTTAACCCTAATTTTAGCCTCAAATTGATTTTGCCCTAATTTTAGTCCCAAATTGATTCTGCCCTAATTTTGCACAGTAAAACATATTTTTGAAATACGTTTTATAAAAAAAAACCGTATTTTGAAAATACGTTTTACTGTGCAGAAACAGCAAAAATTACAGAAAAATTACAAAAACACACCTGTTAATCGAGATTGATTCCACAACCAAATATTAATTATACGAGCTCATATCAATCCATTCGTCAAAGAAAGAAAAATGAAGCACAATAATTCATTGTCCAAATATAAAAATCCAAATATGTCCAAATATCATTACACATAATCCACCAAGAAAGAAAAAATAAATATATATGTCCACAAAATTCCCGGAATACAACACAACTAACTAGGAGTGTATCGATTCGTAGGGTTGCGCGGTCGGGAGCTAACCTGACGCCGTGGTGGTCGTGAAGAAGATGATGTTATGGGCGTGGTAGGTTCTACTTCTTCTTCTTCTTCAGCTGAGTAATTCATTGTTTTAAGAAATCAGAAATTCGACTTAACAAAAATCACAAAAAATAAATAAAATTATATTTTTTTTGAAATAAATAAACTACTAATGTCATTTAGGCATAGTTATTTCCATAACACATTAAATGTTTTCCTTCATTGAAACAAACATTATTTATTTCATTCCATATTTTTCTTCCATAGTTACCATATAATACTTTATTTTATTTTATTTTTTTCTATTACATATCTTCTCTTAAATAAATCATATTAATTTACTTCTCAATCTTTCTTTTCAATATTTACATATTATTCATTTCAAAGATGAAGTGATATGATATTATTCTTATACAAATGATCTTTGTCTAAAATTTAATTGGCATGCTGTCAATTTAGTAAAAATAAATAATTAATTATTAAAAATTTTAAATTACGACATAAAGATGTTTAACTATTGTGATTGAAAAAATATAGTTTGACAATTTAATTAATATATAAATTATTTTAATGTTAAAAAATTAATATAAAAGCTTTACTATTTTTTATATATGCTTCTTAATTCTACACTAGTGTAATACACGAGTATTGTATTAGCAAGTTAATATTTATGTATCTAATTATGTTTTTAAATAGTTAAATGTGCATGAAAAAATATGTATAATTTAATCATATTTGCAGTACTAAAGTTAAATAATAATAATGAAATATATTACTACGACTATGTTTGGAAGACAAATAAGTTAACTTATAGCTTATTTGGTTAGCTTATAAGCTCTCTGTTTTCAAATAAGCTCCGTTTGGTACGACGAGTTTTTTTTAAAAAACTCGAGTTTATTTGATAAGCTTATTTGGTAGCTTTTCAAATAAGCTCGTTGAAATTTTTATTTCAGCTAACTTATCAGCTAATTTTACCAAACACTTTTACCATATAAGCTAGCTTTTCAGCTATAAGTCATAAGGATTACTGATAAGCTATAAGCTAACTTACCAGCTATCAACTACTTATCAACTAGTTTTATAAAAAATGTACGTGAAGTTCAAAATAACGCGATGATCAAAAACAAACTTAAATATTAATTTACTCTTCGTT